AGCATTGGAGACAGAATTATTTTAAAAAATGATAATTGGACGTGAGACTGTTAATATTGTTAGCGCTTATGCGCCGCAAGTCGGGACAGAAGCCAGTCTTAAGGAATTATTTTTGGGAGGATCTGGAGGGTTGATTCGACACATATCACAGAGAGTGAAAAGATTTTTATTGGAGAGACTTTAATGGGCATGTCGGGAGGGAAGCTGGTCAGTATGCGAGGGTGCATGGTGGTTTTGGTTTTGGAGAGCTAAACAATGAAGGACAAACTCTTCTTGATTTCTCATTGGCGTATGATTTTAAGATTGCCAACACTTGTTTCAAGAAAAGAGATGAGCATCTCATCACTTACAAAAGTAGAGCCTCAAGGTCACAGATTGATTTTCTTTTAGTTAGGAACACAGATAGAAAACTTTGTAAAAATTGTAAGGTGATCTCCGGAGATGCTGTAACGACACAACATAGGGTCCTAGTCCTTGATGTGTGTATTATGAGTAAAATCCAAAAACGTCGACAAGTAGTAACACCAAGGATTAGGTGGTGGCAATTAAAAGGTGAGAAGCAAGATATTTTCAAGCGAAATCTTTTGGATAAAGGACTTTGGGATTCTCAGGGAAGTGCTAACATCATATGGGAGGATATGGCTAAAAAGATAACGGAGGTTGCAAAAGTAGTTTTGGGGAGAATCGAAAGGTTTCTGGTCCGAGAGATAAGGAGTCTTGGTGGTGGAATAATAGTGTACAGGACAAAATCAAGTATAAGAAGAACTGTTTTAAAGCCATACATTTGTGTAACAATGAGGAAAATTGGGAGAGGTACCGTATGGCTAAGAAGGAAACTAAGAGAGCTGTGGGTGAAGCTCGTTCTAAAGCTTTTGAAGAATTTTATAAGAACCTTGAGACGAAGGAAGAGAGCAAAATATTTATAAGATTGCCAAGAGTAGGGAAAGAAAATCAAGAGATCTAGAACAGGTAAGGTGTATTAAGGATGAAGAGGGAAGAATTTTAGTTACAGATGATGAAATTAAAATAGATGGGAGACTTATTTTCTAAACTTTTCAATGATGGAGAGGATTCATCTAGTAACTTGGAGGATTTAGTAACTGGTGAAGGAGAACAAAATTTGTCATTCTATCAAATAATACGTGATAAGGAGATAAAGGAAGCTCTTAAGAAAATGGCAAATGGTAGAGCCAACGGACCTGATTGTATATCTATCGAAGCGTGGAAATGTTTAGGTGAAGAAGGGGTGAGATGGTTAACTAAGTTATTTAATGTGATTTTACCGGTCCAAGAAAATGCCTGATGAGTGGAGGAGAAGTACATTAATTCCTATTTATAAAAATAAAGGAGATATTCAGAATTGTACTAACTATAGAGGGATTAAATTCATGAGCCACACAATGAAATTGTGGGAGAAAGTAATTGAGCACAGGTTGAGATTGGAGACAAGTATTTCTAAGGATCAATTTGGTTTTATGCCAGGTAGATCAACTACAGAGGCGATTTATCTACTAAGGGGATTAATGAAAAAGTATCGTTGTAAAGATAAAGATCTACACATGATTTTTATTGATTTGAAAAAAGCTTATGATCGTATACCAAGAGAAGTGCTTTGGAAAGCGTTGGAAAAAAAGGGAGTACGGATTGCTTATATTAAAGCCATACAAGATATGTATGAGGGGGTAAAAACTCGTATAAGAACGCCTAGTGGTCAAACAAAGGATTTTCCTATAAAGATTGGACTACATCAGGGATCATCTCTGAGTCCTTATTTGTTCAACTTGATTTTAAATGTTTTGACGGAACATATTCAAGAGGAAATCCCGAAATGTATGCTCTTCGCGGATGATATAGTTCTTATAGCAGAGACAAGAGAAGAGGTTAGTTGCAAACTTGAGTTATGGAGGAGGACATTGGAGTCGAAAGGTTTTCGTCTGAGTAGAAGTAAGACGGAATATTTATATTGTAAATTTGATAAAGGATTATTCGACAATAATTTGGAAGTGAAATTGGGAGATCAAATTATACCTCAAGTGAAAAGTTTAGATATTTGGGAGCCATTATTCAAAATGATGACGAAATCAGTGGAGATATTTCACATAGAATTCAAGCTGGGTGGTTTAATTGGAGAAAAGCTAAAGGAGTTATTTGTGACCGTAAGGTGCCTAATAAACTTAAAGGAAAGTTTTATCGCACTGCTATCAGACCGGCAATGTTATATAGTAGTGAATGCTGGGCTCTAATGGGACAGCAAGAGAATAAAGTTGAAGTAGCAGAGATGAGAATGTTATAATGGATGTGCGGACATACACGTAAAGATAAAATTCAAAATGAGCACGTACGCGAAAAAGTGAAGGTGGCACCTATTGAGGAAAAAATGGTAGAAAATCGGTTGAGATGGTTTGGGCATGTACAAAGAAGACCAAGGGAAGCACCAGTGAGAAGAGTGGAACATATAACTTTGAGTTCGATTAAGAGAGGTAGAGGAAAGCTTAAGAGAACACTCTTGGAAGTTGTTAAATGCGATTTCTTAATTAATAATATTCCTAAAAGCTTGATAAATGATAGAGCACAATAGTGTCTTGCAATCCATGTAGCCGACCCCACCTAATGGGATAAAAGCTTGTTGTTGTTGTTGTTGTTGTTATAGCCTATATATTAAACACCATTATTATATATGAAACTGATTTTTTTATAATGATGTTTAAGGTGTTTTTATTGCCCAACTTTTGAACTCTCTACCTATAAAGGGTAGTATTTGAACTTTTAGGCTTTCTCTCTTCTTCTATCACACTACTTCTTTTGTGCTGTTGCTTGAGTTTATTTTGTGAACAAAATGACTCATTTTGTGTCCCTCTACATTTTACAGGAAGAGTTTGTTTAATATTGGAGACCTTCTGCTCGATCAATCCGGTGTGGCGGAATAACTCTTAAAAATAGTGTTTCAGCATGACTCAAACTTTGATTTTTCCCGTTGTTGCCAATGATCTTAAAAGCTACTTTTAGCATGTTGTCTTATTTAGTGGTACTAAACTTGGTGTGTTTGGACCCGGTGGGGGTGCATGGTGAGGCTATGAGTTTCGATAATGTTTATGAACATAATTGGGTGTTGGGGCATATGTGAGTACAAAAACATATGCTAAAATAGGCAATGGTAAATATGAACACCAACAATGTCAAATTTGCTCCAAATTCAAGCTCACTTAAGACCTCATAGGCACATCATTTTAGATGTAAAGTCTTGGGATGAATACCACATTGGTAATGGAAGAACTTGGGGAGAGGATCTTGACAAAGGGGGATAGCATGAGCATTGAGTTTAACTCACATTGATAGTTGGCCACAACCATCCAATGTGGTGATTCAAATTGATGGCGAGCGACATGTGGATGTGCTGTTGTTGAACGTGTTTCCCAGAGACTCCTTCAGCTTTCACACATCTTGGTTTTTCGCCTCAGATATGTACATGTATGTCAGACCTATAATTTTACTAAATATATGGGTGCTGAAGTAAGGAAGGACGTGTGTGTTTACATATAATAGTGCAGTAGGTAAAGAATAAATTGCTGTCGGAAAGTGTTTATTCTTATTATATGATCCGTACAATATTATGTTTTGTTAGAAGTTTTCTGGACTGGAATGCATAGCATTTGGTGTCATGATGGAAACAATGATGGCTGCCCGATATTGTTTGTGTTTGATTTTCAATTTATATTTTAAAAAAATACATTTGGAGGATCCAACTTCACATCCCAGAGGTGGTTTGAATGTACTTTTAAAGATTACTCAAACAAGTCAATTGTATTTAGTGATATTCTAAGAGCATGCTAAGCCATTTACAGTTACTGGAAAATTTATTTGAAAAAAAAAACCATTTCAAGGCTTTTATTTCAGGACTGCGCTGGCCACCAAAGCAAAGCTTTGGAATTGTACATTGTGCTTATAAAAAAGAATGCGGCAATAGTTTTTATATTCCCATTGTTTGAATGAAATTGAATTAGCGTTCAATTTTATATTAAGACTGGAATGCAATGTTAAAAAAAAAAAACTTAGATCATGATGTTTTCGAGACTGAAATTTTTTTACCATTACTCATGTTAGTGGTGTTTCAAATGCTTTTTAAGATGGGGTGCAATAGTTGGCAATATATTAATTGAATATATGTTACTTGCAAAACCTATGATCAATGTGGGGTTATGATATGTTTTCAAGACTGAAAAAATTTCACAACATAAAGTTTCGATCATATTTAAGAGTCTTATTTTCAAGAAAAATATAGCAGAATACTTGGAAAAAAAATCCCATGGTCTCCAAATCATATCCAGATTTTCCTTCATGATTTTAACATACAACAACACAAGTTTATGTCTTGATAACTTCTCTTCTTTCATAAACTAGAATAGCTCAAATAGCACAGAAAAATGATCTACAACAATCACAAAAAAAGTGTTGCATCAATATGTCTCTTCTTTTATGTACCAGACCACTTTATTTGCTACAAATATTTGTCTAGGCCATGCAAGGCAATGTCTGTTTAACTCAATAATACCACATGTTTTTGATCATCAGAATCACAATCACCTTTTCTAAATAATGCAAATGCAAATTTTCTCGCGATCATTCACTATGTTATATCATGTAAACAGCTCAAAAGCAAGTATATCGCCGTAAACAAATTAAATGAGTAAAAAACTATGCCATTCAAGTTGTGATTTGTATAAAAGGATGAAAAAAAAAAGCTTATATCAAGCTACGAGGTCATTATTCTTTCCCCAAAAAACTAGCTTAGTAGGGTGCGTAGTACATCTATATATATATATATATATATTTCAGAACTCTCCTCAAATCTTTCTGATGTGAGATGTAACAGTTTTTTCAACCAATTCATGATGCTTTCATCATAAGTGGCCCATTGAAAGAGTCCACTAGCTAGGTAAACCTAGGATTGGTTTTGATATCACTTTGTCACATAACCATTATCCTCTTTCCAAAATGTTAGTTTAATGGGATGTGTAGCATTCGCTTATATATTCAGGAACCTCCCCAAATCCTTCCAATATGAGATATAAGAACTAGTTCAGCTTAAGATAAAGTTATAGGAACACAAAAATTATAGGAAAACAAGAGGTTGAGTGCAAAATAACTCTTGCCAGTTCACTTTCTACCAGGGACCTTGGCAGCCTGCTTGTTCCTCTTCTTAATGCCAGATCTGGCAACTTTGAGGCTCCTATGAGTGGCACTCAACCTTTCAAGGGCTGCCTTCACATGGCTAAAACTATCCTGCCATAATTAGAAGTCTAAGACTCATTGTTTTCGTGGGAGACAATAAATGACTATATTTATCAATAATTATTTAAGCATATATATATATATATATATATTGTTGGTTTGTTCATAGTTCCTAGAACAAACAAATGGGGGTATGGATTGTAGTTATTGCGTCATGAAATTTATCAAAGACATAGTCAAAGACGCTCTGTCCACAATTCCCAACGAGGTATATATCTTCGAGCTTGACTTTATTCATTTTAACAATCTAGATTTGACATCTAACTTGACTTTATTGTGGTGGTTTTGCAGAGGGTACTATGAGGACAAATATTGCAAAACATTTTCTAAGGATCGAATGGAAGAAATCTTTAAAGAGTTGGCAATGACTATTCACCAATAGTGGATGATGGCAAAATATAAGTAAGCACAGGTAGCCAACAATTGTAAATAGGCATTTCATAAGTTTAGGATTCTGACTCTGACTTTGGTTTTTGCTTTATTTTGGCCACTTGTTTTCAGACATACTTGGACAATTTTAAGTTTTTAACATGTAAATAGGTTCTGGATTGGATATAATATTGGAACTGATGTTGGATATTGGAATTGATTATCCATTTAACAACTCTTTCAAGTAAATCACCATGGATCACCTTACATCATACCCCTAAAGTTGCTGAGTCATTCTCATGAAAAACTCTTTTTAGATAGGTATTTCAGATTTTGTTTAATAGTTATCAACATTGTCTAAATTGTGTTTTGATTATGTGTTGTTATTTTCTTCATTTTTGCGCCTTTTCCCTTGTCTATATGTATTGTAATGTAAATTTACCTCATGGCCAGTCTCTAAATAATCAATGGCGTCCTCATTGTTTTTCTGCTACATTACACATTGATGGAAGCTTTGGCTTGGATTTTATTCTTTGCATGCATGTGCTTCGAGGCAGCTTAATTTATTTTTTGGAATAAATGATGTATTCAGGCCACAAGTAGTACTGTATTAAAAGAACCAGAGGGCAATTAATTTCTTGGAAAAAAACAAGATGAAGAATGAGGTTTCATTTACCGATGAAGAGACAATGCAAGTATTATTGCATTTTATGATGATTTACGTTTAAGTTTTGAAATGAGCATGTGGAATTTTTGAGCGATTGACCAATAGATTCCTTCTAACTCCTTTTATGGCCCCAGTTAGATGTTTAAGTTCTTTGAACTCCTGCGGAATTACAGTTTTGAAGTTATACCTTTTTTACGCATTTACTTAATATGGTCTATAAATGAGCTGTCTTTGGTCAAGTTGATCTCATCCATGCTTCGGTGGGAAACTCATATCTATTTTTTTGAGATATATTTGTTGATACATATATTGTTTACATTTAATTGAGGCTTAAGACTTGACATTGCGTGAATTTGGTATTAAATGTTTGCCTAATGAAGTTTGTACCAAGTGAAATTTTGTTTTATCTGTTTGAATCATGATACGAAGGGTCTAATAATAGTACTCCATCCATCCAACAATTCCATCATCCATCCATCCATCCATCCATCACATCTATCTATACATTCATCCCTCCCTCCCTCCCTCACATCCATCCATCCATCCATCCATCCATCCATCATCGACATATTTACATGCATGCATCCAGTACACAAACACACCCATCCATCTATCCCTCCCTCCTTCCATCCATCCATCTATCACTTCCATCCATCCTATACATACATGCATCCATCCAATTTTGGCAAAAACACAAACATTTCAAGCAATAGAGCATGAGCCATTATCTATTATCGAATTTTATCACAAAAACTCACTTTACAAAGTAACCAAATAATATAGTACATGAGTAAAAACAAAGTTCAAATGCTTAAGAAATTATGCAAATGCAGAACCTCTTATTTTCACATCAGCATAAACTAGGTTTGAATGCAAACACTTTTTTATAAGTGGGTATTTGCCTAATTTTTTATATATATTTTTCACCATTTTATTTATTAAATAATGCATGAAAAAATGATAAATATAGATAAAGGGCCTCACATAATACTTTTGGTTTTTTTTTTTTTGGAGAAACGCGGCCAAAATAACAGGAACATGACTTAAAACGCAAAATCTAAGAGATAAGTCCAAAAGAAATTCTTCAACCACAAAAAAGCCTGTGAATACTTTATCTACTCACGAACATAATCTACCATTAGAGTTGGGAATAAACCTAATTTGAATAGGCTCAAACTCGAACAAACCTGAGTCTTAAAAAAGCATGAATAGTTAAGCCCGGCCTGAATATCTGAATTTTATTTTAAAATTTATTTTTAATTAAATTTTTAACTTTAAAATTAATTATTTTATTTTATAAAAAATATAAAATATTATTTTTGATACTTCAATAATGTATGGGATTCAATAATGTATGGGATTCAAATATATGATATTTTAGCATAAAATGATTTAAAACTTAAAAAATTAATTAATATTTATTATATTTTATATATTTTTTAAAAATAAATTTTTTATTTGGGTATTCAAGCTTATTTAGACTATAAAATAATTATAATTTTTTAGAGTCTGGTCCTAAATTTTTTCAAGCAGATTTAAGCTAGCCCGTTGGGCTTGATTTAAATTACTGACTTTACCAAAATTTACTACCATGGTGATTCCAAAGTTCCTCAACATGATTTTTTGTGACGAATGATAGTACAAGTCTTCACTCTTCGCCACACGCAGACAATAACAGGCCTCGCTCTTCTCCCACGCGTAAACAACTAAACGAACAAGGAACCTTCGGTCTTTGACCGCACGTGGGCATAATTCAACTCGGCTCGATCATGGGTGAATGCGAAGCCCAGAATGCATGACAAGCTTTGATTTAATATTTAATATATAATATATTTTAAATCAGGTATTAGCAAATCAGATGAGGTTAAGCGTGATATATCTAGATTCCAAGCCCAAGAGGGATGAATTTAAAACGCAATAAGAGATCAGCCCAAAAGAAATTCTTTGACCACAGAAAGGCCTGTGAACACTTCGTCTGCCTAATTTTTTTTATATATTTTTGACCATTTTATTTATTAAATAATGCATGAAAAAATGATAAATATAGATAAAGGGCCTCACATAATACTTTTGGTGTTTTTTTTTTTGAGAAGTGCAGCCAAAAAATAACAGAAACATGCCATAAAACGCAAAACCTAAGAGATAAATCCAAAAGAAATTCTTCAACAACAAAAGGCCCGTAGATATCAAAAGGCCTGTAAATTTTTTTAAATAGGTTCAGGCTAGCCTGTTGAGCTCGATTTGAATTACTGATTCTATCAAAATTTATTACTATGGTGATTCCAAAGTTCCTCAACATGATTGCTTGCGAAGAATGATAGTACAAGTCTTCATCACATGCAGACAATTACAGGCCTCGCTCTTCTCCCACGGGTAAACAACTAAACGAACAAGGAACCTTCGGTCTTTGACCACACGTGGGCATAATTCAACTCGGCTCGACCATGTGTGAATGTGAAGCCCAGAATGCATGACAAGCTTTGATTTAATATTTAATATATTTTAAATCAGGTATTAGCAAATCAGATGAGGTTAAGCTTGATCTATCTAGATTCCAAGCCCAAGAGGGATGATTTTTTTTTTTTACCAAACAAGAGGGATGAATTTAAAACGCAATAAGAGATCAGCCCAAAGAAATTCTTTGACCACAGAAAGGCCTGTGAGCACTTCGTCTGCCCGTGGACGTAATTCAACTGGCCTGATCATGTGTGAATGTGAAGCCCAAATGCGTGACAAGCTTTGATTTAATATTTAATATATTTTAAATCAGATATCAACAAATCAGATGAGGTTAGGCGTAATCTATCTAGATTTTAAGTCCAAGAGGGATGGATTTATTATAAATAGACCTTTTAAAAACCTCTAAAATCATCCAATTTAATATCCGAAGATTAAGAGACATATTACTTAGTTTAGAGGAGTTCTTTCAAGCAAAAAAGTTTCTCTCTTCCGTTCTTTACATGCTATCTATGTTGTTATTTGGGATTTTTAGTTTGCACTTTGCACCTTATGAGTTGTTTCAAAACTCTCAATCAAAATAGGAAGTAGCTAAGTTCAAATGAATTTTTCTCTTCTCTTAATGTCAAGCTTATGTAAACTTATTATTTTACTAAAATTTACTTATTAAATTATTTAGAAAAATTATCAAAGTTAGTAATGCGACTTATTATTTTACAAATAATTATTTATTAAATTATTAATGGGGATTTGTTAAAAAAATTATTACGCGCTAGTTTTTATAAATGTTAACTTATTTTTATTACCAAAAGTTTATTTGTAAAATAGCTTTGTGAATTTTTTATTTTACTAAAATTTACTTATCAAACTAGTAAGAAAAACTGTCAAAGTTAGTAATGGAACGTGTGTCACAAATAAATACTTGTTAAATTATTAATGGGTACTTGTTGAAAAAAATTAATTTCCATTCGTTTTTATAAATGTTTGCTAAAATAATTTGATAAATAAATTTTAATAAAATAACAATTTAACACAAGCTTTTGACAAGTAAGCATTTGATAATAAAAATAATTAAATAGTTATAAAAGATGATGCATATCAAAACTTTTAATTAGTTCCATTGATAATTTAACACCCTATCATTTATAAAATGACAAATAACTATTAAATTTCTAACAATTATTGTTTTGGAAAGTGAAAACAAAGTTGCTAATATATACACAAGTTTGCATTATATATATTGCCAGTTTAGTGGGTAGCATTTTTTTTTTCCTTTTTTTTTTTTGTGATTAAGAGGTTGTCAAATTAAACCTCCCATTGGCCATCACCCTGGCTACTGCTGGCAGTGCTCCATCTATTGGTGATAGTAGAGGATTTTTTAAAAAAAAAATATAAATGAGGGGTAATTTTGTAATTTCACAATGAATTTTAACTAAATTTTGGTCATTTGGTCCTCTGCAGTAATTTTAAAATCCTGTGATTTGTTTGTGAATATGCTGCTACAGTTCATCGTGATTTTCCCAATGGCACCCAATGCGAAAGGTGAATCAATGCGACAGGGCATACATATGATTATCAAAGGGAGGACGACAAAAAACCCAAAAGGATAAATTAATAAATTTGCAAACTTATTTCTTACTTTTTATAATTTTATGGTGATAAATTTATAATTTACTTTTTTAATTTTTAATTTAATTTAATTTATTTTTTATTAAAATTTAAACAATAAATTATAAATTTATTAAAATAAAGTTATAAAGTTGAAAAATAAACTTATTAATGTTAGAGTTGACACCGTAGACCGGATTTAAATTTATCGGCACTTGGAGCTCTCAGTCATTCTCCCTTTTCAATTTTGATAGCGGTCTGAATCCCAAACGTCAAGGAAAGAATCCCCTGGCTGTTGCTCTCTGCTCTTTTCCGTACCTGATTGGAGCACCCACATTTGATTTCGATTTTGCCGAAGGAAATCGATGATACTTTTGCAGTCTCATTCAAGGTTTCTGCTTCAGACCTTGATGAATCGGGTTCAACAGTGAGTCCTCTTATTGTTCTATCTATTCAATTTATGTATTCGCCTTTTGTTCTAAAGCAATGGGCGTTTCGGTATATTATTTGTTTTTGAATGATTCATTTTTTTGCAGTATAATTATGTTTTTCAGAAATTGTTTTGCTCCCTATGAAGATTATATAAATATTTGTAATTTCAGTTTTTATAAGACTGATAAGTAGAATATGGTCAACGTTCACGTAACTTCATGTCGTGCTTTGTTCTCTGGTTTCACAGTTGCTTTTTGGAAGGCTATTTAGGTTTCATATGCGTTGAAATGAAGATTTTATTGAATCCAAGGTTTTTACGCACTATTTTCCTGTAGATATTTTTTACACTATAAGGGTACAGGAGGTTATTCCATGTATAATTGCATTCATAAATCAACTTTGAACCTTTATAAAATAGAAACACGCATCTTGTATCCTTTTCAATTGGTGATAAGATCATGAAGTATGGGAATCATGTTTTGTACTGAGAATTGTTTTATAGTATAGTGCCTCCTAGTGGATATTGTAAATACGGTTCAAAGGTTTTGGATAGAAAAGGAAGGAATAACATTGTCGCAATGCATAGTTTTTTGCTGTGATTTGGAACATTTGTTTGGAATGAAATCCATGTATCTTTAGGAGTGTTTGTTTGTCTTAAGATCCCTTGCGGAATAGAAAATATTTTGTGTTCTCTCTTGGTGTGGCTTTTTAAAATGACTCACTTTATAGATATTTAAAGGGATAATATGGAGGGGATCCACTCAGACTCAGGACATGACCATGACACGATAAAATTTTTACTGTCCATTTATATTTTGAGCAAGCAGCAGCGTGCGTAAAATGAGGTTCTACATGGGTTATACCTGGACACTGTTTGATTTTGGAGTAACAATGCTTCGTAGGTAGAGGGGTTGGGCAGCTTGGCTGCATGATCATGTTTCTATCTTTTATTTTTATCTGTTTTTATTTTTAATTAAGTGCTTCATCTTAAGAGGGTTAGAGGACATTTCATCCTCCTTGTGTTTTATATTTTTTTTCCTTACTATAATTTCTTCTCTTATGGAAAAAACGAGCTAAATTAAAGGGTTTGCATGGAGCTCACTTTGTCTACAGCTGTACTCTAATTTGGTGGGAAAGCTATCTGTTATAAATAAGAAGGCCTTATAGCATGTATATTGGTCAGTTAAGGGTGTAAAAAGTCAATTTGGATTCCAGATCATAATACTGTTGTGTGGTGATGTATATTCCTATTATATGATGATAGAAATCCTCTCGTTCTGGTTGTTTCTTACCTGCCTCTTACTAATAAAATTATCATGATGCAAACTTTTGTAATTTTGATGATCAGTAACACAATAACACAAATGTTATATGTCATATTGATACTACAGTCTTGAAAAAGGTGTTGAACTGGACTACCACTGGTTTGAGTTTGATGATTTTCGATATCATATTCAGGTAAATCCATCAAATCTTCAATTTATGTTTAAATTTGATACTTGATAGTTTTCGTTAGGTGGAGTTAGTGTTTGACAGTTTTGCATTTAACACCTGACAAAGCAAAAATGATTGTAGGTGACTATAAAGAATCCACATATTTTGTTGTTATCGGTATCCTTGCCTATCCCTCCTCCAGAAACAATTTTCTTGGGTGGACTTCCTTTTGGAGCCATAGAAGCAATAAAAGCTGCATATGGCACGCTTGTACAAATACTTGATCCTCCAAGGGATGGCTTTAACCTCACATTAAAAATAAATCTTTCTAAGCTTCCAACGAATCAAGGTATGCTGATATTTCTTATAATATAACATCATACACTTGCTATGTGCTAAGACTTTTTAAGTGAGACCAGAGAGGGGGGGGGGAGAGAGGGAATGCTCTAAAGGATTGCTTGCTTCTGTTGATCATATGATCTCAATACACAGATACTGTTATAACAAACTAACTGATAAGTTACGGCTAAGAATATAATAACCCTTTTACACTCTAATATAGACATTGCCATTATTTTAAAAATTTTGTTTTGTTGATCTGTTATGTGGAAGCCTTTTCCTCTTGAGCTATTGGTAGGGGCTTAAAACAAATATGAAGGAAAAGGAAGAATCAATTGAATTAAATAGAGCAAGAATCTCACTCTATTGAACTTAATAGCCAAACAGGAGAATCTGCAAGGGAAACAAGTTTTACTACTCAATCATATCCTGCTGTGATAAACGCAAGGATATTTATAACCAGAAATTACAATTAAACAAATCAAATAATGCAGAATATTAACCTAAAAGTCAGGAAATAACTGACTAGCAAATGGGTACCTCACTAACAGAGTTAAGGTCCAATTATTCAGCTACTAACAGCAAAGAAAAATGATAATGAATTAAAATAGTTAAAAATAACAGCAAGAAATTAATTTAAATCGGATAAATCCCTCACAATCTGCATAACAGCATCAGATTCTGTTATCTTCCTCCTCTTTCTGTGTTGATAAGTGGTTATGGGTCTGTTATGCTGACTTGGACCCTTATCAGCTAAAAAATTATTTGTTGTTGCCTGCTGCATGTGCTACTCGTAACAAAGTTGTGTACAGTGAATGAAGAGTAAGCTACACTTCCAAGACACCCCAATTACACATCTCTTCTACCTACTTTGAAAATCTATATTTCAGTTCTTTTTCAGGCAATACAAAGATTTGCTATGCGGACCTCTCTCACTGCAAAAGATAAGCTATAATTACAGTTGTACTGACTGAAATATTTTATATCCATTATTCATATTATATAACAAGTATCACATATATATTGACCATTACAAAAATAATTAATTTTGTAAAGAAGAGGGTCCTAGGCAATAACCCTGATCTATATTGGGCAAGTTCTACCCTTTCAGTTTAAAATCAGTTTTATGATCAAATTGCTATAATTTTATTTTCAATTATTCAGCTGTTAGTGTGTGTGTTTTCTTTTTTCTTTTTTGACATTTTGCGATTTGATGATATTGATCTTTTGCAGATCAAAGATATGCTTTTTTGCTGAAAGTTGCATCGGTTAGGGAGGTGGTACTAGGTGCACCACTGAGAGTAATTCTAAAACATCTCGCTACAAGAACTGTTGCTCCTGACTTGAGTCCACTTGTTGCCCTTGTGCATCGCCCAAATGAGTCTTTCTTTCTTGTTCCTCAGGTGTAAATACTAGACACTAGTTTCTATTAATTTGGTTCATTGCTTTTTGGATTGTTAAATTTACTCTCTTGATATTTTTTTCCTTGCTACCCTAGTAAAATTCCGTTGCTTGTACTTGTGTACAATTGTAAATTTCTTGGACAGGAGAATATAAGTAATAGTGCTGAAGACAGCAATTTATTTCCAGAAAAGTAGAGAGAGAGAGAGAGAGAGAGAGATGAAAACTGAGCCACTTTCTTTTTGAGAAGGATTGCTTATCTTCCATCACTGTAATTATTTTCTCATTTCATTTATTATTCTGTGATAAAAAAAGGAAAAACAAATCAAAGATTGTAAATCCTTCTGCATGTGTCTAATGCTAACAGTGAAATCCCTGTGTAGTCCTCGAAGCTTTGACAATTCAGAACAATTAAATTTTCTTGTGCTAGAGAAAAAAGCCATACCTGAGCCTGTGTTATCTGGTTCAATGACATTTCTGTGAAAGAAGCCCCTTTGATGAAATAGTCCAGAGTGTGATCCTTATCACCCTTATTCTTTATAATTCTTCTAACAAACATTAACTGGAGGATGTGTGTTAGAGACTATTATATTGCTAGGTCTAGGTCTACACCTGATAGCTTAAGCTTTAGGGAAACAGATTCCTTGTCATTATACAAGAGAGACAACATCATAAATTTATCCTTGAAAATTCTGTCAGTTTGCTCCAATCATAAGCACCAAGCTGCCGCAGGTATTGCTCAAGTCCATAGTCAAGCCTCCTTAGTATTCCCAGTGCCTCTTAAGTGATCTGGCCAAACTTTGTTTACATTTGCAGGACATATCGTACTTCTCCACAAGTGCTGAAAAAGCCCACACAAGAGGTGCTGTGCACCTGAATAGAATAGCCAATTGGTTCTTTCTCCTGACATGTGAAATGTTCTGATATAGTCCAGACACTTGTCATACTTTTACTTAACTCTCCACTATCCAGATTCCAGAAGTGAGTTACTTGTGGAATAAACTCTTCGGTCCAGACACTTGTGGAATGCACTCATCTTGAAGGAAATATTTTCTTCATTGATTGTGTTTTGAGATAGAATTGTGAATATCCTATGTGGATTCCCTTCAGTGGTTGGAACAGGGATTTTTGAGGAAACCGCTTTATTTGAAATTAAAGAGATTGGACAGCTCTATTCAACATTGGTAGGGTACAGTGTTACCAGTTGTTTGAATCCCAGGGAATGACAATGGTTTGATTTTTAGAGATGCCAATTTAGGGATGGTTTTACATGTTGCACTCCAAACCCTAGCCAAAAGGATGGCTCTTATACGCTCGTAGGTGACTGTGTTCTGTTTTGAACCAATATTGTACTTTCTGGTTTTAAAAGGCTTGTTGTTGTTGTTGTTGTATTGTACTTTCTGGTTAAGAGTATCTTAACCTCTAGCTAGTTATAAATTGTTCTCTTTATTATTTTTTTTTTTTTGCTCTATCAAGAAACAAATAAATACTAGTGTCTGAATCAACTGAGCATATACCGCTGTTGTGATGCCATGCCATTTCTTTTTTGAGATGCCGTTCACACCTGCAAGTATAGTCTGTCCCTTGTAGTTTTTCTCTGGGAAGGTATCATTCAAGGACCACAGAGAATATTTAATATCAATCAAGGACCAAGAGATTCTGAAATATCACTGTAGGACCAGGGGACTGATTTGAAAATAATTTTACATAGGAAAAGACTATAATACCCCTGCTTTTCTTTTTTCTTTTTAACTTGTCAATTAGCAAATGATTTCTTGTTAAATGCAAATGGGCATTTGTTAATTAATGAATGGCTACTTGTTAAAATATAATTTACATTTATCCATTTCCACAACCAAACTCTTTTAGATTCTTGAACTTGTCAATTAGCAAATAGCGTTTTGTTAAATACAAATGTGTACTTATTAATTAATGAATGACTACTTGTTGAAACATGATCTACACTTGTCCCTTCCCACAATCAAGCTCTTTGAGATTCTTAAATTTGTCAATCATCAAATGGTTTTCTTGTTAAATGCAAATGAGTATTTGTTAATTAACAACTACTTATTGAAACATTATTTGTGTTTGTCTTTTCCCATAATCAAGCTCTTTTAAATTTTAAACTTGTCAATTGGCGAATGCCTTTTTGTTAAATGTGAATGACTACTTATTAATGAAAAAAGAAAAGTAGGGGTGTTATAGTCTTTTCTCATCTAACATGATTTTCAAATTAGTTCCTTGGTCTTGCAATGATATTTCAGAATCTTTTGGTCATTGTTTGATGTTAAATCTTCTCTGCGGTCCTTAAATGATATTTTTCCTTTTTCTTTTGGTAAATTAGAAAATGGAGAGGAAAATAATGAAGTGATTCTTTAAATGTCAAAATAGAAGAATCTAATTTGTTTTGTATTTCAATTCTAATATCTCTTAAAGCATCTGCTGTCTTTTGGTTTGTTGATGTATAGTGTTGTGTGCTGACTCTATAGATCATTGCATTTAGTTGTTCACTGTTAATTATTTGAGAGGGAAGTAACCCTTCAGTTTAGATGATGAAATATCCCCTCTTTGACAGGCTGATAAGGTGATTGTGGTGTATCCTATGAGATTCAACGATTCCATAGACATTGTTCTCGCAACTTCCTTCTTGCAGGTAGAGTTTTTCAGCTAATGCTTCATCTCATTAGAGTTGCTGAGCTAAAAGATAATAGGGGAGATTGAGATAGAGAGGAAAACTTAACTTGAATCTTGAAAAGCTTTCTTGTATAGCATTTTACTCCTTTGTTGGGTGGTTCAATGGTTGAAACTCTAAATGTTTATTATAATTTAGGAATTTGTGGAAGCTAGGCGGACAGGTGGGCTATATAATGCCCCTCCTTGTTCATGGTCTCTTTCTCCTCCATCAGAACTGAAAGAAGCACCGGCTCATGCATTATCAGCAAATGCAGGATTTGTGACATTTGGTTCTTATTTTGAAAAATACTTTTGTTTGTTTATTTACGTCATTCATTTGCTGCTTTCACCACAATATGTGTTCGACTCTGCAGTTATCCTTCCTCGTCATGTACAAGGCCAGAAATTGGATCGTACAGTCTGGAATTTATCAACTTTTCACGCATATGTTAGCTATCATGTTAAGGTGTGTTTTCCTTGAACCAAATTAGTTTAATGGCTTATATCTTGTTTCAATCTTTTCACGGTGACAAAAAGCCTGAATTTCTCGTTAATATAGAGGTGAAGTGCATTGTTATTGATGGACAAGAAAGGCTACTCAAAGAGACAAAGTTACAATTAGGGACATTTGAGAATAATATAACAACAACAACAACAATAACAACAAGCCTTGTCCTACTAGATAGGGTCGGCTACATGGATTGTACAATGCCATTGTGTTTTATCATTAAATAAGAAAATAATGAAATAACTAAATTATTCACCTTATTTACAAGTCCAACACTGCTAGCACTCCCTCAAGCTGGTGAATGGATATCCTTCTTGCCAAGTTTGATGGTTAAGTTTTGAAAGACGACAACACTAGGTAATCCCTTGTTGACTACATTTGCGAGCTGGTCACTGAAAGAAACCTGACAATGTAGGCCATAAAGAGAAAAATAGTACTAGTGAAGACTAAATATAGTAAGAAAAATACTGGCTGATCATGAAATTCATGACAAATGAAGGCAATATATGGCGAAAGTTGTCTTAGTAGCAATTAAATGTACAAAAAGAATGTTTAGCAACAGCTAAAGTTCAACTAGAAAACGAAAAAGGGCAATGAAGGCCATTAATGGTGAAGGGTTACATCAATATAATGCATTGCACCATTATGGGTGCTCATCGAGTTGATAGGTCCCATGAACTCAGTTTAGCTTGGTCAATCCAATTGGGCCAAGCTAATTCTTGGGAAAAGGAGCAACCGGAGACAACTGGGCCTTTTCTTGATGCATGGCTTGGTTCATAGGGTCTTTTTTATTAAATGAATTATTTATTATTTATTTTGTTTTTCTTGATATCTCATTCAATAAGTTGATTCTTTTATCACTTTGAAGACTTTACCATTTTACTCAGTAAATTTTATTTAATATTTCAATTTAATTTATTACCTTCTCCCTTTGAACATAGATATCTTGTACTCATTATATTTGATAAGAGAGAATATTCTGATATTTGTCATAGATATACAAAGAAGGCCATCCTTTATATTGAAACTTAATTTGTATAGGGTCACAAGAATTAAGTCCACGAGTCCTAACCACTTGGTCATAAAGTTATATTACTACTATGCCAATGACTACTTTAACACAATAGCCAAAGCTATTAAACAAAAACCTATATGGTTGGCATTTTACAGTGCTCTGAAGGATTTATGCATACACGGATGCGGCGTCGAGTGGAGACCTTGATTCAGGTTAACTCACATTTTTCTCTCAGCTAATCATCCACTTTGGTAATGTCCAATTTGACCTGTGGGACTGGTTCTCATTAGTTAAATTTTGTATTTCTTCACCCATGTTATACTCTGCTGACAAAATGCTTAATTTAGCAAAAAATGTAATGAAATTGTGTTGGTCTAGTGGTTATCAAAGAATTTTTCACCTGGATCTATTTGATTGCTAAATAATGATTTATGATTAAAATTTAGGGTTAAAGACCATGTTTCTTTCATAAATATTTTTTTTTAAGAACGTTGGGCACCTCGTACTAAAAAGTGGAGTAATATTCTTCCTAAATAATTTTTTTTTCAGATGCAAAATTGTCCTTCCGTTGGAGATTCATTATCTTCTCCATTATTTGCTGACATGAATTAGTTGTATGGCCCACATGTAGTAATAACAAAGCATTTTGACCCATTTTGTTGCTAAAAGAAGCCCGGTTTCTGCCATTGTCACTTCCAGCCCCATTGGCCAATGTTAGGTGGTCAAAATAGGTTAGAATGCCTTACTATTACTGTGTATAGGCTCTACAATTATTTCATGTTAATAGATAATGGAGAAGATGATGGGTCTTTGGTGGAAGGGAGATTTTGCTCTTAAAAGAAAATCGTTTAGGTTTAATACAAGATGCCTAGCGCTCTTTAAAAAAAGTTTTGCAAAAAAATGGTCTTTAATTCTAAAATTTATGCCCCATAGAAATCCCCAGAAGATGGATTGAAGTCATTGAAGAAAGTGCTTGGAAGGACTGAAGTTGTTTTCGGCATCAATCCATGGTTCGATAAACAAAGCCTTTTTGCTTGTCGGGTTCAAGACTGTTTTATCACCCTTCACTGTTCTTCATCTTTATTTATTATAACATGTAATAGAACCTGCATTGCTATTTTGTCGGCACTAGATTGTGAAAAACCAGATTTTGAACTCTTCTTTAACTTTCTTTAGTGTAACATGTAATAGAACCTGCATTCTTTTTTGTAGACACTGGATCGTGCAAAACCAGATTTTGAGGATTCCAAGATAACATCACAGACCCGATCCTTCAAACGTCTGGTATGTTAATTGTTCCTGACTGAGGCATTTCGAAGTTCACATCAATGGTTTTCAATTAGCATTGCATTGATCATTATATTCTGTTTTCAAAACACAATGTCGTATGGGATTGTAGAGCCTCAAGGATTCAAAGTCAAGCAACAACTCATTTTCAAAAGGTGAAGCTCGATGAGAAAGCAGCCGTATGATTATTTTAGGTCAAACAATGAGAATCCAAGGAATTGCTGGTACATTTTTTGAACTAGGGTCTCCAACGTGCCTTTCTGTAATTTTTTTTTTCTGGTAATGTCCCAACATTGCAATTTCATTTTTCATTTTTCTTTGAATTATTGGCTTTTATATAAAATAAAGTACATTTTGATATTTTGAAGTTTCAAAATGATGAAATTTTGTATTTTTTACGTTTTTCAAAAATATGATATAATTATGATATTTTTCTTTAAAAAATCATAAATAATACAAAAATTTATCGTTTTGGGACTTTAAGATATCAAAATGTTTTTAATTTTATGTAGAAGTTAATGATCTAAAAAAAAAAAAATTGGTAATTTGGAGCATTACAAAGAATATTGAAAAACATACATTTGATGCCTCTAGTCCATATTTTTGTGGGCTGCCAGATGCTTGTAACTAGATGCTATGCTTCCTAGTGGATTCATACATTTCATATCTAGAATGTTTCAGATAATTGTAATTTATTCCTGTGAGTACGAGACAAGATAATTGACTAACTGAATTAGTCATTACCTCGTGCAATCTTGTCAGCATCCATGCAGTGTTACTTCGGTTGTAATTGTTGAAAGCACGCTGTGTATTTGCTAATGAGGTAACATTGGACCAAGTGTCTCCGGTTTGTTGAGGTTGAGGGATAGATATTTTGTAGTTCTCAAGCAAATTCTATTGGCAACCAAACTTTTTTTAAAAAAAAAAAATCAAAAGTCTCTTGCTCGTGTTATTTATCATGATCTCTGAAAAGTTCTGGACTGATATAGTAATAAAGGTATGTTGGAATTGGGGGAAGAAAAAGGTAAGGAAGAAAAAATTTGAACTAGATTTTCTTAAGCATTTATAGTTTGTTCTCACCAAAATATTAGCTTTATTCAAAAATATAAAATATTTTTAATTGAATTATGCTTTTAATAAATTTGTTAATTGTTAATTGTCTTAACTAATATCATTTTTTTATGTTTGTTTTTATTTAATATGGTGTTTCACTAAAAAGATTTAGTGATTTATTTATTAAGAGTATTTAAAAAAATTCATTAATTATATATTAAAAAAATAAAAATGCTTTGTATTTTTAAGGGTAAGAGTCAAAAATGCATTCAAAGTTTTTTCAAATGAGTTCAACTCTTACATTTTAAAAAGAGTAATAATGTTAAAAGTAGGGTACCAAAAGAGATGAAAAGTTTGATGTGGCAACTCCTGTGGCAACTTGTAAGGGGGAAAAAAAAAAGAAAACAGAACAGGCGAGGAAGATTGCAAAAGAATTGCCGATGCTCAATCCCAGACATGATGCTCACCGAAAAATTGCAGAAGATTTGGCTCATCCAAGTTGGATTGGATGACTTTCGAGGAAGCTTGCTGAGAAATTGCTTTAGCATAGCGATGAATAGCTAAAATCTATACAAGCTCGTTTAGATTGAACCCACGAAGAATTAATCTAATCCTTGGGACAAAACTCTGCATGAGCAAGAAAAGGGGAAGAGAGCGACAGGATTAGAAACCCTAAATCTCACTCATGAAAGCAAGCAAAAACTGTTTACAATGTGGGATCCACATTAGAAAAGAAGAATGGGTTCAGGAGATTTTTAAGACCTTCCAAGGTGCGTTGATGAAAAAATCAAAGCTCTAAAGCCAATGGCTCCAACAATGAACCCTGAAACTTCAAATGCATCGTAACCAATAATGTCGCACTCTCTCTCTTTCATCATAACCCACAAATCTTGCTCTGCTTGCCGGCGATGCCAACGCCAATCAGTGCAACAAGGCAATGCTTGACGAAGGAGGCCACTCGTGCTTTGGACTTTCAAACTTTTAGAAACTTCATTGCCACATTGGATGATAGGTGGATCATTTTCAGGGGTTAAACAAATTTCCATCAGTCAACATAACTCAATCTTAGTCAAAGGGCGACATTGATCCACTTTTAATACTTCTTAAACAACATTGCCCATTCTAGAATGTAGGGATACTAAGTACTAATTTGAGAATACTTCCAGGATATTTTTACCTTTTAATACTAAGTACTAATTTTAATTCTATTTTTAGTCTCAGGAAAAAATACTTAATATTTTTTTAATGGAAGGAACATGTTTTCACATCAAAATGATGACTATAGTAACCTTTATCTTGATTATGACCATTCAGAACAATTTTACATATGAAATAAACTAGAGAGATCTTATACAAATAAAAAACTACAACGATCTATATCAAAACATTGATATAATTATAGGGATCATTAGTTATGCTTTCCAAAAACAACTCAAGCAAGTCAGAAGGAGCAACTGAAGGGCAAACTAAGGTGACAGAAATTGAACTAAAAGAATAATGAGAATTAATAATGGAAACAAGGAGCTAAAGCAGTAAGGAATTCAAGAAAGCCAGAAGTAAATCGTTTCAAACAATAAATTAATCTCTAATTTTCAAGTTGTTTGACATGGTTACAATAATATAACTTGACTATTTGAGCGCATATTAATTATTTAGTAGTTCTTTAATTATAGAAAATAATTATTGGTTAGTGCACATGAAATAAAGGTCAGACGTGTGCTTTTTTTAGTCATAACAATGGCATAAATTAAAAGGAGGCGACTCAATGATATGATTTGTATCACCTTTATTTTTATAACCCAAAAATAATCACTATTAATAATAAAAACTTGTGAATTAGACGCTGGAATCCCAATGAAACAAGTAAAGCTTTCAAGCCTACAACCATTTTCCATAAATTAAAAAAAAATAAGAAGAGACTTTAATAAAAAGAATATAGCTCAGTTCAAAATGAAATGAAATAACTCTTTAAAATAATTTCAGAGGACCCAAAATACCATACCTTAGTAAATGTTTCAAAACCAATAAAATAATAACTTAAATGCATACTTCTAAATCATGGCAATAAACATAGTGTAAATTAAGCATGCACGACACTTATAGGACAATTGAGTCATCATTCAATTCTTCAACACCTTCCCTTGTGACCTATCAAAACCCTCACCTAAAAACTTTAAGCGATGGTAAATGAGAGCTAACATCTCAATAACAAATGAGAATTCCAAATATACCAACAAACTAATTCAAAATCTCATTTTGTAATATATATTTATATAAATAATATCTTTTATGAAACTAGTTCACAAATGAGTTCACAAAAAGAAATATTATTTTTACAAGTCAAAAGTATATAAAAAATAATCATACAATAGGTGATGTTATCCCTAACCCTCCCTTATACCTCTCATCCATCTTATCCTACTATCAGAAGTCTAGCTTGAGGATACGCTTGACCAAAAATGTGTTGCTTGTAAGACTAAACTATTTTCCTTAGAAAGGTTATGTCCAATGTCCCACAGTCCCAAACTAAGGGAAAGGAGGCTTAATAAGAAATGCCAACCATGAGATCCTTGCTTATCATGTGGCTAAACTAACAATAAAATCTCCAACACATCCACTATAAAAATATCATCCTCAATACTCCTTAGAAATGCATCACATTCCAAACAATTATAAACACACAAACATGCTTGAAAATTTTATATCTATTATTTAATTTTGAAAGCAACCAAGCATGTTTGATAGAGTTAAACTCTATAAGAAATTATTTCCACAATCCAATCTTCATTCAACACAAACTAGCATACTTAAAAGAAATAAAGTAATTATGTAATTTAAAATATAACATAAGCATGCTAGACAGTTTAAAATGTAGATTTTTAGTTTAAAATCAATCAAACAAGCCCTTAATACGCACGACATTCTCAAAACAATTTATATATAATAATATAAAATAGCAGTTTCTCAATATAAAAGAATAACCATTGTTACTTCTTTTTCAAGTTATAACTACACATTCTGGAGTGTTTATAGAACTATCAACACAAATGCTAGTCTACAAAAATAATTAATAATAATATATATAATTATTTAATAAGTCCCAATAATTTATTTTATCCAAACTTAACTTTATCAATTCCCAATGTTCCCCATTTAATCTGGAAGCTATTTTATCCTTTAACTTAAATTAATTTATATAAATTTTGTCCACTTTTTCACCTCTATAAATTAAATAAAAACTCTTATTCAAATTCCCCTTGAAAGACTCAAATTTTGTCTCTAAAGTTTATCTTCCAATTTTTCAATTTCATATATTTGACTCTAACTCTTATCTTAAGCTTATTTAGAAATAAATTTAAACTCTAAAAAAATTTTATACCCTATTAAGTTATAAATAAGTCTTTATTTATTTATCATAAGTCTCTCAGAACATTAAAAGCTACTATAGAGTCCACAAAATCAATGGTTTGAGCAAAACCAACCAGTATAAACTCTTAATCCAATATCTTGAGCTCTTTTAACAACCTAATAATAGATTGGAAACACATGACTAATTAAAAATCCATTTAGCTCTAACTTTTTTTTCCTTATCAGATCCCAAAAATATCAAAAAGAAAAGTAAGAGAAAAAGATGGACCACTTACCTACTTTTTAGAAGCCTAACTTGAATTAATTTCTTGAAACTTAACAATACCCAAATAAAGCTCCCACTCTATCACTCTCCCTTACCATGATCTGCCTCTCTCTCAATTTCTTCCGTGCAGCGAACAAAAGAGACTCGCTCACACACGCAGATCGGCAGCCTAGGGTGTGTGTCCCCCCAAATCAAATAGTGGGTTGGGCTAAGCCCGCTATTTGATTTTCAATATGTTCTATTTATTAATTTTGTGTATATATCTTTTTAAATGTTTATATAGCCCAACCCACTATTTGATTTTCCATATGTTCTATTTATTAATTTTGTGTATATATCTTTTTAAATGTTTATATATATAAACTATTTATTTATATATGAAATTTCTCAAGACTTTCAAAATTTAAAATTTGGGCTGAATTTAAGCGTTTTATTAAATAAATTTTTACACAATTAACTAATTATAATGCGGTAAATTGAAACTCTTATTTTAAAATATCTTTCTTTAATATCACTTAATCTTACGATTTTTCTCTTTTTCAAAAAAATATATTTTTTGTTTTTATTTGGAGAAAAATATCCTGACTCAATTAATTACATGATAAATTTTAATTATGAATAAACTTAGTCCCAATATTACTAAAATCCTAAAATAAAAATAAAATTTTTTGGATGTTACATGATATATTCATATTGTGTTTCTTAGAATTTCTTTATCCTTAACGTCATAATGAATGGCATATAAAGAGTTTCTTATTATTAATAGCCTATAAACTTCAAATACTACACTACGTAATGCACTATTATATACCTTTTTATATTTTTATCACATTAAAATAGGATTTGAATGGTTATAGGCGTATAAATAGAGGTCATATCCAAAGTATATGCACCCAAGTAAATAAGAATTCTCCTCCATTATTTTTTCTCCCATTTCTTGTATTGTCTTCTTCTTTTTACTCTTCATATTAACTATATTTTATAACATGTTATCAACATGAATTGACTCTTAAAACAAGGTATGAGCTTTTAGCTAGAGTAATATGTTCTTAT